AAGAAATTAATGATTTGAAAGTGACGGATGCACCTAAAAAAATAACAACAAAATCAATTAATAAATTAAGAAAGGTAAAAACCATATTAATGGAAACGAAAATTATAATAGAAGAAGAAGAATAAGCACATTTAAATACATTAAAATTTTTAGATTAAAAATAAATTATATGGGAAAAAATTAAAGCATAAAATTTTACTAATTTCAACCCAAATTAATAAGGTAGAATAATAGATCGGGACATAAGGTGGTGGAACATAATTGGTGGTAGTAATTGAGTACTTAACTTGAGAATGAGTTATTGCCTAAAATTTTACAAAAAAAAAAAAAAAGAAGTCAGAGCAAAGAATAAAAAAAATTAAAAGAAGAAAGATTGTAGTTAATCATACTTTTCCAAACGTAAAAGCCCAAAAAATCCCCTAAATATTGGCTAAATCAAGTGGTAGCAGCTCTTGGTTTCTGAATTCAGCCAACACTTAATGAAAAAATTGAGAGGAAACGGTATGAGGAGAAAGGAGTAAAGGTTAGAAAGATTGCACAAAATCAATCGGAGAGGGAGAAATCTGAAATCAGATCTCCTTGATGGCTAACCAAAACATGCAGCTGAAATTGAAAGAAGCACGGAAAATCTGAAATCAGATTTGCCATGCTTGTTTCGATCAGCCATGCTGACCGAAACATGCAGGAAAATCTCATTTGCTGATTTCCCATGCTTCTTTCAATTTCAAAACCATGACTTGGCATGTCAAATCGGTTCAGAATTTTATTTCGGTCAATTTTGTAGAATGAACTAATAATATTTTATGTTATTTTTTAATATTGAAAGTTAAAATAATAGTAGATTTTTTTCGCATTTTTATTTGGTTAAGTGGCTTGACCGAAAAAACTATTAGTTCATAATTCAGTCAAGCCACTTGACCGATTTGTTTTGGCGCCAATGGATGCCAAATTAGTTCGGTCAAGTGGCTTGACCAAAGTAAAATTGGACCGACTTATATGCTTTTTTTTTTTATTTTTTGCAGACAAATTTGATATTCGGTCATTCTATTTGTCCGAATTATTTGTTTTTTTTTATCAAAAAAATTATTTGACCGGAATACTCTAGCCAAAATGATCAACTTTCTAGTAGTGTTCATATATTGAAAGTATTGGCTTAACTATAATAAATGACAGTCCTGGAACGCAACTTGCGTAGAAGTTCAATTAGCTATAACCCTTAAACAGGTGCAACCCCAAATATAGATAATGGCTTCAATTTTCCCCTCCTCCAAATTTATACTTAAAAAAAAAAAAAAAAGCAGTATTAAGCCTATTGTCACGATCGGTCTCAACGTAACAATTCATTGTATTCAAAGGGCATGAGGCGTCTGTCGGTGCTTTCCTATTATAAATTCCTAATATCAGCATGCATATGAGCATATCTCATTAATGACATAACGATAATTTTTGGCTCGGACTGTTAACTCGTTTCCTCCTGATAATAAATTGTAAATTAAAGTCTATTAAAGTCTTTTAAGGGCTTTAGTTATGGCCACACATCTATTTTTTAGAATCATGAAAACTGTCTAATTTTTATCTTAGTTTAACTATTAAGAATAAAGTAATGATGGAGAGGACGAAAACGGGGGACGAAATGGGGGACAACAGGTGATGCAAGATTCATGCATATGGTGCAATTACTAATTTGACCCCCTTGCACCACCTGTGGTCCCCCATTTCGTCCCACATTTTCATCCCCTCCATCATTACTCTTAAGAATAGTGTATTGATAGTTGATAAAACAATTAATAGTTATTATTTGATAAATCAAAATTAGTTTTAAAAAAACAATAAACTAATAAAATATTTGAAAACTTGTGTAGCCCTACATAACTACAGCCTCTTTTAAGTCTAAATATAGACTAAATAAGTTTAAATTAAATCTATTTTTAAATTTTAAAAAATTAAACATTTCTAAATTAATAAAAAATTTTCTAACGCATAAGTGCGCAAAGTAGAAAAACTCAATTAATAATTTAATGTACAATTCTACCAAAAAAATTTTGAAATAAAAAATCGTTAAAGTAATAATTTAAGAGTTTGGATTAAATTACACCGATATAAATTATAGTATTAAATAGTTTTTATAAAATTTGTATTTTGACCTAATTTAAGAGTTAAACTCC